TTTTTTTTTTTGAAAAGCAATTTGCACATGCACTGAAATTTTTCCTTTAAATTCGCTTTCCAAAAACTGAGGTGGAACATTTCTTTAAAAATCTTGATCTCATTATTTTTTACGATATAGTTTAAAGAAGAATTATTTATTGATTTTCAACTCTCATTTGTAGTATTTACCTGAAGTTCTTTTAGGGCTTACCCAGACATGGTATCAGAAGCAAATTGGACATTTGCATTGATTGCCCAGTCACGTTAATATTACCGTTAAACCAGCTTTCTGAGCAAGTTATTATTTGGCTAATGAAGTCAGTACGGCTGACCAATGAATTCCTTTTTTCAGACGCAGCGAAGGCGTTCCAAGATTATTTTATTGGTTGTCAAGATGGAAGTAAGTGTTGAGTAATTTAGTTGTTTTGCTAGTTTTAAATAACGTTTACTGAAAAGTATTACAGCTTTTGGTGATACCAACTGCTTAATAGATTGGATTACTGTTAGATGTAACCAAATCAGCATTCATCAAGGTCTACGAGTTGCGAAACAGACCAGTTCACATCCTGAATGCCAAAGTAAGTTTTGATAGCTAAAAAATTTTTTTATGGTTCATGGCTAATACTTTCGGTCTTCGTTGATATTCAATATACAGAAACTTGTAATCTGTTGCAGGAAGTGCACTGTTGTCTCAAGATATTTTTGATACTTACTACTTCGTAATTTCCTCGAACAATGTTCTCTCCCGCTGTTACGATCTTCTTGTTGACATATATCGTAATCTTGATGGGCTAGTGTCTCATAAGGGTTTGATTTACTCAGTAATTTCCAGTCACATCTAACCACAAGCTTCAATCTACTAATTTTACTGAGCAGTAGGAGCTACGAAAAACAAGGCTTAAATTTTTCTCAACAGTTCAAAAAGATTACTCGTTATAGTTCCTGATATGGCGATAGTGACAAGTTTCTCTGGTTTACAAATTTGTCTTACTACCGAATTTTATCAACTGTTACGAGGCTTTTTGGAAAGGAATTTAGGAGACCAGTTAGTTC